TATGTAAAATAAGTTTCAAATGTTTATTATTTTATCATCAGTTGATGTTATTTAATTAAAATGTTTTATAAACAATTTTACTAAGCTACTATAATTTCTAACACGTAAATTTTGTAATGCTTTTTTATTCTCTTCATACATTGTTTCATTATGGATAGTACATTGTTTCAACATGGATGAAAATTCCTTTGAAATTCTCTTTGTTGCTAAATGTTTTATTGATTTTGTCTAAGAAAAAGTTCAAAATAGTGCCTTATTTTGGGGTTAGGACTCAATCTCATCCTTGATTTTTCATATGAAACAGTAATAGTATCTTGTGTTTATAATATTACTGCATTTTTTGTTTCTCCAATACTTTTGCCTATTTTTAATATTGATTTTGTCCACAATTTTATGCATGTAATATTTAACAGTCTTTTATATATATTTTTTTAAAAATATCTCCATGTGAGAGAAGATGAGAATAAGAGCACCTTGTTCTATTAAGTAGAAATATTATTGTAGCTACACTAAGGACACCTTAACATATGCCGTTGCAAGAAAATAAAAGTTTGTACTATTGCACATGAAGATTATGTGATGAACCTCTTGATTTTAGCTGCAATACATTTTCTACTAAACAAAACAAGGTGTTCCACTTCTCACCTTTTCTCACAAAAGTTATTATTCTAAATATATAAAAAGACGATTGAACATTTCATACATAAATTGTAGCTAAAATCAATGTTGAAAAATAGACAAAAAACTGGAGAAGGATCGAAAGTGCAGTAATATTGCAAATCTGAAGTACTATTACCGCTCCATATGAAAACTCAAGAAGGATTTTGAGTCCTAACCCAAAGATAAGAGACTATTTTGCACTATTTCTCAATTTTGTACTATATAAGATATGAAGTAAAGCATAGTCTTCATTCTCCTCATCTTTTGTTATTTCCTCCATTTCAATTTTATATGACACCATTTGACTTGACACAGTTTATAAAAGAAATAATTTTAAAAAAATTGTGGTCTAAATATTCCTTGACTATTTGTATGACTATAAATAATTTTGTTAACAGTAAAATGAGTATTTTAAAGTTAGATTATTTTCTATTATGTGACATTCTATTTGCAACGTATAAAAAGAATATTGTTCCAATTAATTGAGTCTAAAAAAATATTTCTGAAAAAATAATATGGTCCGTTTGATTTTTATCAAAAATGTGATAAGGACCGTCCTACTTCTTCACTCTTATACATAACAAAAGTTTGATAATATAAATAACTCTCCTACATAATAAAAGCTTGATAATACAAAGAGTTTTGAAATAGATTATGAAAAAATACCAATGTTATTATTATTTGATTCATTGTATGTGTTATACATAATATTTAAATGAGTATGAGAGATATATTTTTAAATTTTAGTTATGGAAACTTAGAAAACTTATAAGTTTCAATTAATTTAGTTGAAATAGAAAAAAAGATTATTATAAAGTGCAATTCATTCTATATCGTGTTTTAAAATATTCATGATTAACATTTTTAAAAAAATAAACATATATAATATAATAAAATTACATAAATATACAACTTAAGATAATCTCTATTCCCTCTCAAATACATCTCAATCCTCTTGGACATATCCCTATCCCCCTTGCATCCATTCCTTTCCCCTCTCGGATACATCCCTTCCGTTAAATAATGTATCATTTGTAATATATCGAACAACCAAAAAATGTATCCGAGAGCAATAAAACTCAAGAATTTTTGTAATTGAAGAAACTTTTGAAATAAGATGTAATTAACCCCCAAATATATATTTTTTTTTTAAATTATACTATAATTTAATATTATAATATTGGACCCGTAAACGGGCCTTTGATTATCTAGTTATAAACTAAAAAAAGAGTCATTACGTCAAAGTTGGTCAGACGTACAATATTTGTTATGTTTACGAAAAAAGAGAAAAGATAAGTAAGAAATCAAAAGTTACAAGAAGATCTGCTGTACATCTCATTTCTAACAATATAATATATAATTATTTTAATATACATTTCTTTTTGTTTTTCCGTTCGGTGTCTGGAGTCCACATTGAAGCTCTAATTAAATTCAAATAGTGTTTGAAGCTCACATTGAAGCTCCAACTAAATTCGAATTCGGATTGCGCTCTGCAGGCCCATTCGGGGGTGACGCTCTCAATAAGATTTTCTCTATACCCAAAACTCAAATCCGAAACCACTGATTAAGTGTGAAACACTCCCACCAGATACACCACAAAACCCATGTTGGTATAATATAATATACTTAATTTAACTAAAAACAACCGTCTATTATCAATTTTCATCATCAATATTTGAAATTTACATTCACTAAATGATCTTTTTCCATTGTTTGGTTCATCTCTAATTGAACATCCATGATTTAAGCATCTTGGGATTCGCCACCGAGCTTAGCTCTTAGATAACCATTTTGAATTCACTATTTTATTTTAGATCATAGAACTCATGAAAAATTTCGTGAAGTATTGTATCTAAAAACATAAGTTTGAAATTAGAACGAAAGTTTGTGTAAACATTGTATCTATCAAGTTAAAATTTTGATTCTATAGTATCTCTGATCTATAAAAGGTATAATCCTTTTAGTTCTCTATATGATTGGCTAGCTTTATATTCATCGTAAGGGAATTAAATAGAGTTTTGGACACTGCATATGAATACCTAAATTGATGAAGCAACAAATTCAAAGAATGGAGGGGACAGACACCATGAACCTATGTATATGTGTGATAAAATTTGTGCAAGATTCAAAAATTTGAGAAGATAGTGATTATTCTTGTTACTCTAGAAATTAAATTAGAAGAAACGTAACGTATGCAATTTGTTAATTAGGCACCAATTGCTTTCACGGGCGAGCACAATAATTTGCTCAACTTAACATAAAATGTTAGTTGTTAGATTCATATTTATTATTTTAGTTCTATGATTTCAATTTTAAAGATTTTTGGTATTTAAATTGTGAGTTTTCCTTTACCATAGAAAGTTGGCAATAAATACTTCTAAAAGTGATCACATATGGCTAGGCAAAATTTATTTTAATTTTATATATTCACTTATTTATCATTTATTTTAGGGAAAATTTCATGGTTAAGCAAACATCTACAGTTAACTAGTCATCATAACTATAGTTTTAGTTAAACCACTCGCGATCAACATTTAATGATAATTACGTGGGCTGAGGTTTCGAGTTTGTATAATTCAAAATTTGTATAGTATAATTTGTATAGGGTTTATATAATGTAATTTTATATAATATAGTTTGTATAATTGTTTAACGTTCAGATGTTAGTGTTTGTATAAATTCGTTATTTCAAGTTTATACAAAAACAACTCAATTATACAAACATACCCGTGAATTATACAAACTCGCCTACGATTTATACAAACTCGCAATTATACAAATGAGATAGCTTAAACTGTAGCTATAATCTGTAAATATGCAAACTATAACTATGGAGCATAATTCAATATATTATAGTCCTATTTGCAAAAATTCCCCATTATTTTATACATATATACAATGACACTCAACCTAAAAACAGCATATTGGAAGTTTTGTTGTACTTTCCGGAAACAATAAATATGCGTATCAATATTTTAACACATATATCAAGTATGCCATTACAAATATAACCAAGAAAAAATATTATAATTATGAGATATAATTGCCAATTGTTGAATGTCAACCTTTGATAGATAAAGATGTTAGGCTGAAATCTGAATCAGTTTCTAGATTGCAAAGTAGGTGGGCTGCAGTTGATTAATATATAATGTGTCACTCATAAATTGCATTAATCCAATTTTACTGATCAAGTGAGAACACAATTCTTACTTAGTAGAATTAATATCGAAGAAGAAATTCATCATTTAGAGCAAATCAAAAAACAACTATTGCTACAATAACTAATCACCAAAATAAGTGTTTATTGAAGATAATTCTTTAAAGGTTATTACTCATTAGGGCTCATCGATCAATTAAGAATTAGTATTCAAATGACCATAAAAAATATTGAGCATGTAATAATTAAATAAAAGACATGTGCTTCCTATTATTTTAAACTTTTAAATGAGAATCACTAACTTCAACATGCTATCGAGTACACAGAGGTCATATGCTCTCTCTAACAAAAAAAAAAAAGTTAAGAAATAATTAAAATGTGAAATTTGACTATCCATTTTTTTTTATTTAAAAAAGACAGCCTAACCATATGCACTAGTTTCATATAACATGTGATATCCTTCCTTCTTCAAAAATACAATTTTCAATTAGTAAAACGTTGGGAGATAATATGTTTGTGAATTGATTTATACACACCAATAATTAATAATCACAAATATTCTCAAGGTACTGTATCTCATTAACAAAAATACTTTTAGTGTAATATTAATAAGATGTGATGTTATCTTCATGTTTTAGAGTAACATTTAAACAAAATATATTACGATTTTCCAAGTAAGTTTACTATGATTCATATACCTCAATCCGCAAGACAAAAATGGTTGCTCTCTCTTAAACCTCATTTTTTGAGTCTATGCCAACATGTCATAATATATAAAAACTAGCATCTCTTTCAACAAGCCTTTTTATGATCAAACAAGTTCTATACGACTATTTTTTTTACTTGAAATTATTATGTTACAAATCTTGATCTTTGTACATATGAATAACTATAGAGATACGTAAAAAACACACCTAAACTATCCATTTTCTTGAGTTTCATACCTAAACTATTGAGAGAGTGAGTTTCATACCTTTTTATATTCTTTTAATTTTTACAATTTTATACAAGTGCTTTTTTTTTAAAAAAAATAACTTTTTAGTGCATTATGAAAAAATTAAGGGACTTGGATATAATTTCCCAAAAATATAAAGGCGTAATCGCAATTTCCAAAAAATCCTTTTGTCTCAAAATTCTGCAACTGTATCAGTATCTTCAATCAGCCTTAAACCCTCCAAGAACCCCAAAAGACGATGACTTTTGCCAGTGGCAGTTTCACTCCAATCTTGACCAACAGTTTGATTGCTTCTCGAATATGGACCCCAAATTGGAGAAATGGGTTTTTCTCCCCTTTCAATATGGTGCACACATTTGCCTCAACTCGTAGCCGTCTGCTCAAGAACAAGAATCACTACAAAAGATTGACGCTTTCTTCCTGCAGTAGAAGCTTCAGCTGTCAGTCCACTGCTTTGTCTGATATCAATTCAACTTCTCACACTGTTTCCTCAAATGGGTAATTCTTGTTTTTTCATTTGTTAGACTACTGGAAAAGTTGAATGTCGTGTTCTGTATTTTTTAAGTTATCACAAGACTACCCTTCCCAATTTTTTTTGGGGGTTCATGGTTGTTGAAGACATAATTAAGTAAATGAAAATGGTAAATTTCTAATAGATTAAGCTTAAAACTGTTCGAAACTGTTTTTTTCTCTTTTCAAATCATTTGTAACCATCTAAATAGGTATAAAAGTAAAATTAGGTGGGATGACTAGTTTTTGAGCGGGCAATTAAAATTTACTCACTGGGGTAAAATTTGAAAAAGAAAACCTAGCCAAAACACTTATAACAATTCCAGCACACGGTGCTCGAATTCGAAGTTTTGACAAGTGAAATGCTAGCACATTGTGCTGGAATTCAAAGCTTTGACAAGTGAAACTCCAGCATCTTGTGCGAGTTTGAAAATTTGTTGGAGTTACAAATTCCATGAACGATTTCATGGAGTTCAAACATTTATCTATTATTCATGAACTTGAAACTTTCACAATTTAAGTGTGAATATTTGTTGCAGTTTAAAACTCCATGAACAATTTATGGAGTTCAAATTTTTGTCAGTTCAAACTCCAACAAGGATGATGGAGTTCAAACTTTCACAATCTAACTATGAAAGTTTGCTGCGATTGTCAATGATTCGTGGAGCCAAACCTTTATCAGTTCAAACTTGAGGAATGATTCATGGAGTTCAAACTGATAAATTCATGGAGTCGAAGCTTTATCAGTTCAAATTCAAGGAACGATTCATGATCGAACTGATAAATGTTCAAACACTAGTAAAAGTTTCCTGGAGTTTTTCCATGTTTTAATTGGGGTTATATTTGTCAAAATTTATTTCCGCATTAAAGATGGCTGAACAAAGCGCTCGCTAAAACTTAATCAACAGTCCGAAAAAGGGCTGTTTGCCAGTTTCATCGGTATAAATAGTTAAAAAAGGGCCACAGGTTGGCCTGAACACCAAGTTATTGAAAAAATGTAATTGCATCTGAGCTGCACTGATGTTATATGTCCACAAAACATTTCTACATCTGAATTTATTTGTAGAAAACAAATAATGTATCTGGGTACTTTTGCATTTTTTAAAACTATGTGTTGATTTCATTTGGTAGAGGCAATTAATGGAGTGGACAGCATTAGTGCTGCTCATGAATATGTGCCATGAATTCGGCATATCTGATCATTAGGTTCAAAATGGTTTCTTTACTTGTTGGCTGTATAGATTAAAAAGTCTAAACAAGAGCAGGAAGCTTACTTTGATAGTGTATTGCAACTTAAGTTTAGATTTGTAATGTTACAATTTTCTTTGATCGGGTAGAGACATGTCTCCAATGTCATCAACCTCCACCAGGCTAGTATCCAATTTGATTCTTATGATTTGTTACACTGATCTATTTGTTTTTATTTCACTTTTTCAGCCACCTTAGATATGGACGCTTGATGCCATGCCCTTTGCAGAACAGCCCACCTAGGGTTGAGCATCTTGTCGTCACAAAAGAAGGACCTGTTCTAGAATATATTTGTAAAGCTTTGGATCTCCCTCCATTGTAAATTTCTATCTTTCTTTAGTGTTCTGTTGTTCTTTTGTTATTTTCCTGCATATCATAATTTACACCTTGAGAGTGATCACCGATGAGTTGAGTGATAGTCATCTTGGATCAGTTAAGTGGTATTTTGACCAATGTTTTTCATCATTAAGATATGTGGAAGACCTTATACAGTTTGGAGCTGTGTATTATGCACTTGTATGTCCTAAGCCACCTCCGACTGCCAGTCCTGAGCAAATTAAAGTGTATGAAGAAGTTACAGATCCATCAATTCTGAGACAGAGAACTTCAATCAAAGGGAAAACTGTACGTGAAGCTCAGAAAACTTTCAAAATAACTCGTGCTGATGAAATTGTTGAAGCTGGAACGTATTTGCGAGTGCATGTACACCCTAAGCGCTTTCCGAGGTAATTACTGAACCCTATTCTTACTTTGGCTCATGACTTTTTGTCAGTGAGAAGGTAATGTTGTAAGATTTGATATGATTAGGTGCTATGACATTGACTGGAAATCTCGTATTATTGCTGTAACCGACGACTATGTGGTTCTGGATAAACCTGCTGGTACATCTGTGAGTACAAGGCTTAATTAAATATGGTTATCTGTTGAGTGAAATCCTCTAGCTGATTTTTGCTGATAGTCATTTCTGTCAAATAAATTACTTCTAACTGACATTGGTTTTCCTCTCATTATATCGTTACCTTTTAATTTTTACTATTAATTAATGTTGTTCTAGGCTCTTCTTCTTCTTTTTCCGTTACCAATAAGCTAACTCTTTTTCATATTGACAACTTAAACTCAGGTAGGAGGAACTACAGATAACATTGAAGAAAGCTGTGCTACATTTGCTACTCGAGCATTAGGATTTTCAGCTCCACTGCTTACTACCCATCAGATTGACAATTGCACTGAAGGATGGTATGGTTGGCTGTATTTATCCCACGTAAATTTTCTTTTTTCAAAATTCAAGCAGAGGTGAAATAGGATGTCATGGAAAGAAAGGTTCTGGCATGACTTCTAATTTGTGCAGTGTTGTGCTGGCTCGGAGCAAGGAGTACTGTTCTGTATTTCATGGAAAAATCAGGGTGAGACTCACCTCTATGTCGCATATAGTCTTACAAAAGATTTGATAGAGAGTTATAGGGAATAACAACTTCCATGTTCCCTTACAATGGAGGTCCTTTGTGGAGTGTACCATTTGGTGTTCTTGATAACTTCATCTATTATCTGCCAGGAGAAGAAGGTCAAAAAGCTTTATCTTGCTCTTGCTGCTGCTCCGGTTCCTATTGGAATACTTACACACTACATGCGTCCTATTAATATGGCCCCAAGACTTGTTTCTGAAGGTAAGCAAGTAGCAATACTAATATTTTGCTCGCGTGAGAGAGATAGAGATAGACAGAGAGAGAAAGAGTTTGATAATACTAAAATTGAGATTTCTAATCTGGATAAAAGGTTATAACAGATAGATTTTTAGAATCATTGGATAAATTATGACGAAAAATAAGTATCAAGTCCAAATATGAAATAAGTAAATAGTTGTCCTTGTGCTTGTGTCTATTCTCAAGTTTCTAACACCCAAAAGAGCTGACATTGAAAGGATCATATGTTATATGTACATCTCCATGTCAAACAACCCATGATGTTAATGTTTGCCATAAGGAGTTGGATGTTCTTCCAAAAGTGCTCATATTTTCCTCTGGCATCTATGCTTTGCAGATTTTGTGAAAGGATGGTTGTTATGCCAACTTGAGGTCTTAGAATGCAAAAAGGTACCCTGGCCTAGTAGTGAAATCCAGAGGACATACAACCTTGAGGACTGTGGATGGGCTTTGAAAGACTTTGCATATGAGTGCCAAATCAACCTTCTAACTGGTCGGACTCATCAGGTATTTAAATTCCAGTTTTCTGATTCCCTCATGCATTTGTCCTTCTGTCCTCAGGATTTTTCTAGTTTGATGTTTCAAAGTTGAGTAATTGCTTGTGCAAGTTGTTTGACCTGCTTGCCAGTTGGGTTTTATTCCTACAAGTATTAGACAGGAAAGGCCTAATATCTCGAATCAGGTTACTTTCTCGGAAAAGTATTTCATAGTTTCTTTTCACAGGTCTAAAGAGAGAGAGAGCGTGCATGACTAAACTATTTAATCATGCGTAAACTGGTTTACTAATGGTAGCTTTTGTTACAAGTTCATCTCTGGTTTTTGCAATCTCAAAACAAATGAAGACGTGAAAAGGAACTAAAACAGTGATTTTCTCAAAATGGCATTTCAGTTTGAAAATCTATGTCTTGAGAATCACTGATATTCTGATGATATATGGTCATAATTGGCAGATTCGAGCACAGTTAGCTGCATGTAGTGCGCCAGTGGTAGGTGACTCAATGTATATGCCAGCTGCAATTTCTGAAATAGTCTGTCCTGGGAGTAATCCATTTGGGAAGAACAAAAAACTATATTCAAACGAAAATGATAAATCACTTGCAATAGACGAGTGGATAGCACAACATGGGAAGGAACCTAGTGTTGCTGTAGGTCTTCAGGCATGCCAGATCTCGTGGGACGACGGCCAGCACTGTTATGGTGCCAGATTACCCTGGTGGAGGTAGATAAAGCTTGTGCTAATGTTTAAGCCTGGCTTCATCAGATAATGTGGCAGGCCTGACAAATTCTTCGGCACAAGGTAAGAGCTTTGTTATTCAGCAATCACTATAAAACACAATTATCTTTAAGCTAAAAGTTACCTGTCTCAAAAAAAATAAAAATATTTTAAGCTGAATAGTTCTTCCGCTCATTGGTGAAGCTTTGTGTTGTATGGTACCTCAGCTGGTGATAGAAAGAGGAAGCTGGTCATGATGTCAGCAATACAGCATATACTTAAGTTAGAGGTGATAATAGGATCATACTGTGAAGTTTTGTTGGGATATGTAAGAGTTACATTTATGTTGAGAGGAACTTTTCCGAACCATGAATTTGTGTTAATTAATATCAACCCTTGCCATCTATTATGCACCAAAGGCAAATGATAAACTTTTGAAGTTCTCCTTCCTCTTGACTGTGTTCTCCTGTTCTTTCACTCTCTTGGGGAGAAAGCTAGACGAGAAAGATGAGGGATTTGAGGGGGAAGGCAAGATGTTAGATTATGGACTGATACAATAGTAACATACTAGTAGGATTTTCCTCTTTAACTTGCTGACCTGTCAGATGTAAAAATTCATGTGTCTTGCACTAGATGTATGCATGGCTAGGCTGTCATCTCGGGGTGTTGAGCGAAAGTTATTTGGACTTGTTTTCATCTGTGAAAAAAGGAGTTGAGTTCCTACTAACCCCACTCCTCACCCAACCAAGCACCACCACTTTTTTCTGGAGAAGAAATGTTCATCTTTCATTTGACACCTCTTAATAAGCACATTGTGCTATCTTGCATCCAGACAAGATAGCTTATTTCTGTCTATAGCTGATACTCACTTTTTATTTGTGTTTATAGCTGATACTCACTTCTTTATATATCGACAGCAACTGCCTGTGCTGGGATCATATTATGAGCTTCAAGGAAAAGGCTCACTTACTGATCTACCTTGTGTAGTTGTGGAATAGCAGGATGTTGATGAGGAATTCACCGACACATTTCGGTCATTTGAAGGTACCCCATACCTTATCCTACTCTCGTAGTTTCTGAAGCAATGGTCTGCAGATAAGGTAGTCTTCCCTTGACCAGGAGTCAAATCCCCTCTGTGTAACGAAAGATCTTATTGCAGTAGTAGAGCATGTCATAAATATTTCAGGCTCATGCTTTTTTTTTTTTTTTTTGCAACTTTTCATTTTTAGGAATGTAAATACAATGCGCTGTCATAAATAGCATTTTTGGCTGATGTTGTAACACCAATTTCGTGAAGACAATGGAGAAAATAGTGTCAGTGAGGTTGTTATAATAGTGTATGCTTCTTGAATATAACTTTTCCATCCTATCTGCTGATGGTTTTTTTAATCATGAGCTTTCTTAGAGTAGATTTTGAAATTCAGCCGGAGTAAAACATCCATTTTGTAGAATATTGGAACATTCATAAATCTGTTGAAGCCTAACAGATTGGGGGGGGCGGGGGGGGGGGGGGGGGATAGAGAGAACTCAGCTTTCAACAGAATATTTCTGCATAATTAAAACTTCTTGCTTACGTGATTACAGTTCTATTGGAGTGAATACAAGTTAAGTTTGAGCTTAACTCTTGTAATATGAAGGCAGGGATCAGGCTGCTTACAAGCTGCTGCTTTTGCATCATCTTCTTCAACTAGTTCTGGGCAGTATGTGTTTCAAGCTGTATGTGGAAGTTATACATGAGTTGTTTATACCTGGTAGCTGATAATTTTGGGGTTCTCTGGAGATTAGTGTAGTTGACATAGTGAAGTCCAAATCTTAGCTTATATCCATGTAGCCACTCAAAGTTGTCGAGAAGGGACCAAACAAAGTACCCCCTCACGTCTGCACCTTCCCTGATTGCATTTGCCAGTGAATTTAAGTAGCTATGCAAATAGTTCACTCTATGAATATCGTTCAAGGTGTCCGTTATTGAAGGATTCAGATTATCATTCTCAGAAACGCCTGCAACATTGCCGATTGTGTCAATAGTTGCATCCCAACAAATCAAAATGCATCTCGTTCAAGTTATTAGTTGATAAACTGCATCTCGCTTAGCTTCTAAATGACAGAATGTGAAATTCCTTTTCTTCTTACCATTTTCAGTGATAACCAGTGGAGTATTATTGAATCTGTCCCTCATGTACATCACAATTTTTTTCATCCCTTGTGGGTACAGAAAGATCCATGGAGCACCAGTCTGATTCATTTAAAGTTAGGGGAAAAAATAAAAATTCAGCAATGTGGAAAGTGCTAGCAATGGTTTGATAGAGTGGGTTAAAAGATGAGATAACATACTGGTTGGCCAATGTAGACACCGTCTTTTTCTGTAGTAGCTAAATAGGAACCCTCTGACCAAGTGTTTCCATGATCACAGGCAGAAAATAAGCAATCTTTGATATATTTAGCCGTATAGTAATTGATGCCAATGAAATCTAGGCCATAACTCAACTTGCCCAAATCATTCTTTGAAAAGTCTGGCAGATTAGATCCCAGAATTTGTACCATTTCTTTGGGATATCTTCCTAATATAATAGGGTCTAAAAACCTGCATAGTAAAAAAATAACATTTTTTTCTTCTCTTTCTGATGCACAAGAAACCAGATTGTAGTACTGAACTACTGATGAGGAAAGGTTACCAGTTGACGTAGAATGACCGAGCTCTCTCAGCTGCAGCTATGTCTTCTGAGGAATTGCTAAATGGTTCATACCATTGGGTATCCAAAAAAATTCCAATCATTCCTCCTTGTTTTTTTTGAAAAGCAGCATAAAATAGACTATATTACTGATACTTGTATGGTCTTCTACAATATACCATTTGATAGATAGAGGGGGAGGAAGCAGTTTAATTCCAAGCATAAATTTTCGAGCTTTAGTCTTCTAAGTATACCATTTTCCTGTTTTACTTCCCCCAAAATTCACCTACAAGCCAGAAAGTAGCGTTGCACTAAAGGGGTAATCCATTTGGACTAATTCTGCAAGATCATGCGTGTTGAGAGTTGACATGGCAATGGGGAAAGGGCATAGAGCCATCGAACAAACCTGATATCTGGTACGGTAAATGCAGACAGCAGCTGCATGAGATAGGATCATATTGTGAGCTGCAATGAAGGGCTCCCTTTCTGAATCACCAGCACTACAATTCCCAAGTATACCGGAGCATCGACCTGGGGGGTAAGTTCCCTCTCTATAGCCACGAACAGCCATGAGGTTAGGCTCATTGATGATTGTCCAGTATTTGACTCTGTCCCCAAAATATTTGAAGCATATGTCTGCATAATAGCTGAAATCATCCCTGAAACACGACACAAGTTAACTTGTTCATCATTACAACTTTTTGATGGAATATACATACAACTACCTTAAAGTGTAAGATGGGACCAGCTACTTACTGTATTTGTGAACTAAGCCAACCACCATATCTTTCCTCAAGTTCTTGTGGTATGTCATAATGTGTTAATGTGATAAACGGTTGGATCCCTGAATTCACAGCACATAAAGAAGTCATCTGAGCCCAAAAATTAACTTTTTTGGATTTATCAATATCTTAAAACTATTAGCAAGTGAAGCAGAAGAATTGACCTTTCTGTAAGAGTGCATCAATAAGCTTATTATAGTGCTCAATTCCAGCCATATTAACATCTCCAAATGTCCCCTCTGAGTCAAATTTACAACCGACAAAGAAAAAGATTGTTCAATTGAAATGACAAGAAGAAGTATTTGCTGAAAATGAAGGGAAGAGAGTAGTGACGTACTGGGCAGAATTCTTGCCCATGAGATGGAGAAACGATAGCTATTCACACCCATATCTTCCATGAGCTTGACGTCCTCCTGTTTTCATTTTATTACCAAACATCAGAAATTCAGAATTCTTCATTTTCATGCTTTACGAGTGAGTCTATTTTCTTGCTAGTATGTTGATCTAACATTCATTCATGAACTCTTCTGAGACGCGTATGATCAACTTGTTGCAGAAACCAAATTTGTCTTGCCATTTTGCATGCATGCTCCCTTCATTCCGATTAGCAACAAAAGCATATCATGTGCTTATCTGCTTCGTTATTATGATGTTGATCAGCTTTGACACAGAATGTGAGTTTTACATCTTAATTGTAGAGCAAGACTAACTGTTTCCCTTTTGTGTCAAACTAGGGTGTTCCCTTTGATTCGCGAATGATTGTTTCATGAAAAAGTTAATTCTGATCTCCAAAAGTACTTTTTATCTAATTTATCAGTTTATTGTTGATTTTGAGTAGGCCAAATCCAATTTAGCAAAAACCATCTAATTAATCTCAATGTGATTCCATCTCAACAGGATAAAAACATACAAGAATGTGTTACCCTTCTGAAATTGCCTTAAATGTACAAAATGTTAGCATGTCAAAGAGAGCAAATGTCAAATACATCTAATTCTTTCAAAACCCAAATATAGTAATTAGCAAGTAACAATATAAATGACAACATTATTAAGTCCTTATCTAAGGTATTAAGAGATTTGCTAGGGGTGCTAATAAATATATATATTATAATTAATAGAGATAAGTGTGAAAAACACATCTAAATTATTTTTCTTTTTCAGTTTCATATCTGAACTATTGAGTGTGTATCTTTTATTACATTCTCTTCGTGGTGTGTGTACTACACTCTCTCTTTTATTAAAAAAGTCTTTTGACAAGTAAAAAATACTTCTTAAAACATACATATATATCTAACACAAAATGAGGAAAAAACTTCATTGTGTACTACACACTCTCTTTTATTTTTAAAAAAGTTCTATGGCAAGTAAAACATATTATCCTAAAAACATATGTATATATCTAACACAAAATGAGAATTTTTTTTGAAAGTTTTACAGTTTCTTTTATAATTATTTTTTTTGGATAGTAATATTTTAATCTTTAACTTTAACTAATGGTAATAATTTATTTAATTTTTTGTCAAAGTGAGATATTTTGTCCATGTGGAGTATGATATGATAATATTTTTTAATAAAAGAGAGAGTGTAGTACACACACCATGTAGAGAGTGTAATAAAAGAGAGACGTGTGTTTCTCAAATTAATAAATGATAATTTAGGTATGAAACTTAAAAAAAAATAAAAAATGGTCTAAATGGACAGAAAATTAGGCTAGAAAATTAAAAAAATTATAATATATTTTTTATTTTAAAACAAACTGATCTTTTTTTCATTTTTTAGTTAAAAGGTATTAAAGTTAAAAGGATAAAAATATTTAAAAATATTAAATAACATAAATAAAATATCATTCTGACCAAATTTTCTGGCCAAAAATATTTTTCTTAATAATTACAAGAAGTATGTCCTACTCCTACATATTATTGACCAAACAATTATTTGCCTACTCTGTCGCGAATTAAATATCCACGTGTTCTTTTTCTTACCTCTATTGGATTTGTTCAAAAATAAAGAAAAAAAGAGTTGAATGAACAATATATATAATTCCCTGTTTCCAATAAACAACAATGTTTGCAGAAACTACATAAAAAGGGAAACCTCAAATGATAAATTAGATTTACCAAATAACGATTGTAGTGATCAACTGCAACATCACCATTGCTTCCATCCTTAATATGACCTGCAACAACAATAACCAAAATGAATACTATTTTTTTTTCAAATGGACTAAAATTCTTGCAAATTTTCTTACAGAAATTGATATTCATTAATTAAAAAATCATAAAATTGAACAAATAGAGAAATACGTCCTACGCAGTATCTTACCTGACAATTTGTGT